GGGGGGCAACCGGCGCTGGGGCCTGCTTCTGAAAATCTCCTGTGGATGTAGAAGGATGCTGCCTCTGATTTTGGCTTGTTGGGAGGAAGGAGAGGGGGCTGCATCTCTGAGCAGCAGCTTGGGGGGTCCCTGGCTGGGTGAACTGCAAGCCTCCAGCACGAGTGAGGGTTTTACAGGGAGGAATTAGTTGCGCCCTCTGGCCAGATCTGCACCCCAGCACAACGATCGCTCCCAATGAGCACTCGAGCTGCACTTTTCATCCTCATCCTCCCTCCTTGCCCTCCCCAGGCAAAACCTGCCAGCAGGCCGACCCCTGCGCCTCCAACCCCTGCGCCAACGGGGGCCAATGCGTCCCCTTCGAAGCCCACTACATCTGCCGGTGCACCCCCAGCTTCCACGGGGCCAACTGCAAGCAAGATGTCAATGAGTGCAACATCTCGCCTCCCGTCTGCAAGAACGGGGGGAGCTGCACTAATGAGGTGGGCACCTACCAGTGCTCCTGCAAGCCAGCCTACACTGGACAGAACTGTGAGCACCTCTACGTCCCCTGCAACCCCTCGCCCTGCCAGAATGGGGGGACGTGCCGCCAGATCGGAGATACCACCTACGACTGCACCTGCCTGCCAGGTAGGGGCTACCTCCAAGGGGGGAACACGGGGAGCAGGGACCCTCTTGCAACCCCCCAGACAAGTAGTGCCCATATTCCCCTGAGTTATGGCTCTGGGAGGGCCAAAAACGAGGCCTGTGGGCTTGCTGTGCCGTGTGCGTTTGGGAAGACGTTGGGCCCAAAGAGGAGAGGTCATCTGGGGGCTTTTTATACTCAGTGATTCACCAAAATAGCTCCTCCAAAACAACCGTTTCAGCAGAGGCCCCTGTGCGGATGCTCATACTCCAGAATAAGAGTGCCTTTTTCCGCTTTAGCTTAATCCACTTCCAGAATGGAATAATTAGCTCAGAACAGCTATTTTGGAAAGTTTCTGAGTGTGAAGGGAGCTGGGGAAGGGAGACCCTCTCTGTGCTCACTGCTGGCTCCTTCTAGCAAGTGCTGGAGCCACCCAGCTGAGTTACAGCTGCCGAAATGAAGGGCTTTTGCAGGAGGATGCCTGTGTAGGTGGCCCAGCACCCTGCATGGGAGCTCAGCACCCTGCACAAGAGCTTGGCACCCTGCATGCCGGGGCGAGGGGGGAAGAAAAGTGGCTGTGAAAGGGCCCCTTGTCCCCAGTGAACCCTTGGAAGGAAGCTGTGGGCAATGCTGAGCTGCCGGAGAAGTCTCTGGTGGGTTTGATCTCATCTGGTCGCCCATAACCTTGCAGGGGCTGGGGCAGGATGAAGGGTAGGTGACTCCTCTGCTCTGCACCCCGAGTGGTGCTCAGCATAGCTCTGTCACCCCTCCGCCATAGCTGCTGGGGACGTGGCATTGGGGTGGGGATGGGGTCTCCCAGCTGGCACAGCCATACCCACATCCTGACAGGGATGTGCAATCTGTGTAGGGCAGCATGCGAGGGTCTCATCTTGATCCTTGCCACAGGCTCAGAGGTTCAGTTCCCTTCCCAAACCTTTTGGCTGCAGTAACTCAGGAGACTCATTAGCCACCCAAAATATGCAGGGTCCTGCAGGATCTCCTGCCTCCCCTCCACGCCTGCTCAGCTCCTGTCCTTAGGGGCAGCAAGGCGTTGGGGACGACCAGTGCCAGGGAAGGACGCCTTTCCT